TGTAGTTCATGGTACAGGGTGACTTACCAGGGGCCATCTAAAGTGACTCCCACTCAGAGGGACCCTAAAAAGTTGGACCTCTTTTTGACCAAGAGTCATATTCCTCAACGAGTCTACAAGTGTGCATTAGGAATTACCAAGTGCTGCTGGCTAAATATGATTTCCTGAATTGGGAAAGTATACCCCAGTTCAGTGAGAGACTTCCACAGGAGTACAGAGAGGAGGTCAAATCCCTTGTGCAGGAGAGACAGGTGGTCTCACGGACCTCGCTACAAGCCATTCTCAACACCTCATTTGCAGCAATCCCATAGTATAGCTACAACAGTAACAATGTGTAGGGCCTCCAGTATTCTTAAGAACTGCAGTCTGAAGGAGGTTCAAACAGCCATTGAGGACCTCCTCTTCACAGGTGGTAACCTCTTTAAAAACATCACCAAAGCCCTTCACCCGTTAAAGGATTTGAGGTTGAGTTTACACTGCCTGGGGGTGTACACCGCAGCTCCCAGAAGGAAACAGTTCAAATCTCAGCTGTCACAGGCAACAGTCCTCATACTACTGCGGTCAGCTGAGATAGTCTGAACCTTTGAGGAAAAGCAGAGGTTCCTAAGAAAGAGTCACTCTCTGCCTTCCTCCTCCACCACACACAGTCTATCAATGTCACAGCAGCAGGTTTGACAGAGATTGAGAGCCTTGCAGAACCAGTGGTTCATATCCCTCCCTTACACCCTCTCCCCTTTTGGAAACATTTAATCTTGTTTCAGAAGATATGGACCTCAGACCTTGGGTCCTGAAGATTATGGACAAGAGGTACTCCAATCCAGGTCCAATCCCTCCACTTGCCCCTTTTGGGACTCCTCTTACGATATATTTCTCAGTAAGTGGATTCCTTCAGAGAACTCAGAGTAGTGGAGGAAGTGCCTGTGGAATTCTAGGGCTGGGGATTTTATTCTCATTTTCTGGTCCCAAAGAAGAAAGGGGGTTGATGCCCCACCATAGAACTCCAACAGCTCGACATATTCATCCATCGATTCAAGTTCAAGATGGTGAGTCTATCATCCAGAATTCCTACTGTAGGTTCTCAAGATTGGTTTGTGACTCTTAACTTGCAGTATGAAAGTAAGTGTTTTATAGTTCACCCTGCCCATAAGAAATAACTCAGGTTTCTTATGGGAAAGTCTCATTACCATACCTCCACAGCCCCAAGGGTCTTTAAATGCCTGGCAGTTATAGCAGCATTCCTGGGAAGACAAGAGGTTCATATTACGTATACCTCAGTGGCTGGCCAATTTTAGGTCAGTTGCCTCAACAGGTGAACATCTCAGTGCAAGTAATTCTGGATTGGATCTTGTTGCTGTACTAAGCCTCATAGTCAATGATACATGCTCTCTGAGATGTGTTCTGGGATGGCCTTTGGAAGAGTGAATTCCCTTTAATGGGCGATCAGCATGTCTAGCTGCTCCATTGTTGTACCTGAAAGGCTGGTTGTGGGTGTTCCCAACCTCTCAACATATTTCAGTAATATATACAGCAATACCTCACATATAATGATAACACATACAATCCAACAAGATATTAGTGTTCAACAGATCAAGACTTTTAAAATGCTATCTCATAAGGCATACTTTGTACAAAACATATATTTATATGACTGGTGAATATGGGGGTTCCAGGGTGCTGCTTTGAGGTACAGAGTGACACAACTCCATTCTTTCACAGGTGGGGGCACTCAAATTTAGACCTGTTTGTATTTGACCTGAACAACAAATGCTCCAGATTCTGCTCTGGAGGGGGAACCAGTCTTGGCTATTCTGGACAGCAGTGGAGAGGAGTAGCAGTGCTGATTGGCCCACTGCCCTTCAGGTTTGGTCCTGCAACCTCTGTCAAGATATGACTGCTGTGCACCAGGATGCAATGCCACTCACTCTGTTTTGGTCAGGCTGCTCCCATAATGACAGAGGGGCCGAGGGGCCAAACCTGAGTGGGCAGTGGGGTGGCTAGAGCTGCTGCTCTTTGCCATTGCCTACGGGAGGGCCCAATGCAGGTGACTTGGTGCCCCTGCCAATGGTATACACAAATGCATAATGTGGTTAAGGCTGTGGGTGCCACTGTACCTTCCAATTCCTTTGATACTGTGAGAGTCCTCAAAAAAAATCAGACAGGACTTAGCTCTAATGATGATGGTATCTCCAGCCTGGCTCAGGGAGTTTCGGTATTCCAACCTCATGAACCTGTCAACATGAACCTGATCACTCTCCCAACACACCAAAACGTGATCACATAATTGGAGGGATAAGTCCTACCTCCAGATCTAGCATCCCTCCATTTCATAATCTGGATGTTGGCTGGCTGACTTCTGTTGACAGTGGATTATGTTCATTATCAGTTCAAAACATCTGGAAACCAAGCATCATAGAACAAAGAGAACTAGCTTTAGTAGTAGTATTTATGAAGGCACATAGGACTCCTTGATAAAGTATCCTCAGATGTGTAGATTAATCAGAAAGGCCAGACTAGAAAAAACATTACCTCCAAAACACAAATTAAGGAGTTAATACCTCTTTGTACAAGATTCACATTGCAGTTCTCATGAGAAAAAGGCTATTCTTGTAACTCCAGAAACATTTTGCTTCAGAAAATAAATCTACCAAATAAATTCCGTGCTTCAGAAAATAAATCTACCATCACTTTTTTCCAAACATTTTTCGAAGCATTCTTTCTGGGAAAATTAAGTTATGGCATAAGTGAACATCCCTAGAGTTTTAGAGACTGTTACAAGCATGTGGAGTACACACACTAGCTGTATTCGTCCAAAATACCAGGGCCTCGAAGGCAAGATGTTAAAATCTTGCATCAGTTGTTATGGTAGGCAACAGGGAAATATTCTCAGAGGGAATCAAGGTTCCTTCTGCAAGATCTGTAGTGGCTTTGTGGATAGAAAATATCTGACTCCTCTGAGGAATTTTAACAAGTAGATTTCCATTTCTCTGCAGAAGCATCCTTTCTAAGGAAGATGCTACCGGGTTAGTTCCCAGATCATTTTCTTAAATAACACGTCTTTTACTGTATAGAGGGGAGCTTTTATTTCTGCCTATTCTGCTCTAATGATGATGGTTAAATTCTGCTGTATCCTTCTCCCCCTATTTTTGTGATTCACTGCTCACTACTTTCTATTATGACTGAGGAGAGAAGCTGTGCAGCAGAATGAGAAATTTCATATCTGATGATTTTCTTTCCGTTTTTAGCTTCTCTCGCCATTCAAATCTGCCTAGAATATAATTTATAATAACTTGGGAATTTTTCTATGAAAGAAGACTTAAATATAGACTTACCTTCAGGTTGGATAATATATTCTCAAGTCTTAATGCTAATTACAGGTTATTGGAAAATTCAAATAGCTTTTGGAAAATCTCTTCTGGTGGTCTGAGGGGAAAGGCAGGGATGGGAACAAAGGTTAGCTTCAGAGTCCAAGCAGCAGTCATGTACACATCTGAGTTCCACAGGTGAGAGGCATTATCCATTTGTTACAAATGAGGAAAGAAGCTGCTAAAAGAAGATTATCAGTCAAGAAACTTTTCAGTCTCCCATCATAGAACAAATGTTACCAGTTTGAGGTTTTTAACACAGTCCTGGTTTTGGAGACCAGCATTTTTCCATTCAGACACTTCCTTTTTGCTACAGCAGCTGCGTGTACTGCCTCTCCCTGGATCACCTTCTCCTTTGCCTATGAAAGAGTAGTGTGTCTGCACAGTATTATTAGTCACATTGTACAGATGGGGAACTAGAGGTAGAGAGGTGAAGTGACTTGCCAGAAGTGCTTTCTTTCGGGTGTTAATCTTGCACTACAATTAAATGATCAAATTTAGGCTAGCAATAGCTGGTGATACTTTTCAACAGGATATTCTGAATTTATTTGAGAACATTTCTCAGTGTTGGTGACTGACAAAAAAAAATAATCATAATGGTTTATTTTTCTACACTATCTCCCAAGATTAATTACTAGTAAAATTTATTTAACTCACTGTTTTAAAAATTGTGTACAAGAACAAATAAACTTAGGACAAAGCCGCCTTTGGCAGCCATTTCAAAACATGCATGTAGTTTGGTGCAAGAACATGTGAATAAAGAATATAATTCTAATTTGTAAGAATTTGAAATACCCACATTAAATTGCTATCTAATTTCAGACAGGATGAATGAAATAATGGCGTGTTGTAATTAGAGATGGTTTTATTTCTTCCCATGAGCCCTCCTTCTCCCCTGTTTCTTCCTTGATTATTCTGTTTTATCTGATTTTTATTGCTTAGTTTTGGTACATCTATACTCTGTATTTACCGTCATAAATTCATCAATTTTTGAATAATAAAAATAAATTCAAGCCTCCTGAGATGAAGGTGTGAATGAGTGATACATGACCAACATTTACATTGGTATGTATTGGATACTAAGTTAGAAGATGTAAAACGTTAGTAATTAAAAAAAATATATTTTGGATGTGCCCTCTTACTATGGCAAAGATTCTATAGAAAAAGAGAAGACAATCTGGGAGAGGGGAGGATAAATGTTTTTGTACTGTGTCTTCTAATTGGTTTTAGTTTTTTCTACCCAATTGCTCCTATTTTAATCTACTTAATAGTAAGTCACTAGTGAAAGTGGCTTATAAAGCACTACTGAGTATATAGACTAGAAGTACCTCTGTGTGGGGCACAGCATAACTAGAGGGATATAAAAGTGGGCTTCCATAGTTACTGCTTTCTCATAAATGTATGCTTCCAGTGGCAACAATTTGGCAGTGAGAGAGTTAGGTTCTTTAGCAAAGTTTACCTGTGATCAATGTGATAAGTTGATCAATTGAATTCAAATTCTTGTCTCTCTTTTTTTAAATTTAAAAATATGGTGTGTGGATATTTGTAATAGGTATAATTGGTTCCTAGAAAAATTAATATTTTTTATGATACCAAATCTAAATTTATGTAGCTGAATGATCCCTTTTTCTGTTCAAGCTCCTGTTGGGAATAAGGAAATCATTTCTCACATTAGTCAACATGGGGGTAAATGGCCTTACTGGTTTAAAAAAATGGGTGAGTTTGTCTTTAAAATATTACCTTCAATTTATCTATATTTTGGAAATTTTTCTTTTTAACTTTATTTTTATCTGACCCTATCCAGAAAATATTCACAAACTTGGGAGCTACACACTGAAACTGCAAGTCGTGTTGAATGAAAGTAATGCAGACACTTATGCAGGAAGGCCTCTACCATCTAAAATGTTTAAATTTAATATTGTAGGTAAGGAGAATTCAAACTATTCCACTATTCCAATTTTCTTCAATTAGATCCTTCACAAATGCTCAGTTCTTACTTTTTGACTCACTATATTAAATGTGTGCTGGGTTCAGCTTCAAAATAAATTCAATTTTGGTTAAGAAGTGTAGGGGATGATACCTTCAGCAAAGACAAAGTGGTGTTTGAAGGCCAAGGCGTAGCTTCACAAAGGAACTTAGGCACCTAACTGCCACTTGAGGTACCTGAATTCCAGAATCTGGCCCCACTGGGATTCACAGAACCCTGTAAACCCCTAAATTTGTTCAATACCTAAATTTTTGCAGTTAGTTCCCTAGGTACCTATGTTTCTGCCTCTGACATGTGCACTACAGCCCTGCGCCAGGCATCTGGATGCCTGAGCCCAGAGCGATTCACAAATCGGGAAGATAGGCAGTCTTCCATCCAACTTGCCTGTGGGGCCTGATCTAGTAACCATGATCAGAGCCTGCTTACTGAATCGAGCCCTTGTAGGCGAGCTTATGCTAAAGGGCTGTGGGACAGGGTTGTGGAGAGGAGGACCTCCCTCATAACTTTTAGCCCAGTAGTTAGGGTACTCACCTGAGATGTGAGAGACCTCTGGTTCAAGGTCCTCCTCCACCTGAAGAGGAAAAGAGATTTGAACTGGGATCTTCCACCTCTCAGGTGAGTACCCTAGCCACTGGGCTATGGGCTATTCTTGGTGGGGGGCCCTTCAGTCTCTCTGATTGAAGTTCTAGTTTGGATAAATAATGAGTGATTGGAGCAGAGGGACTGGATCCTGGGTCTCCCACCTCCCAAGTGAGTGCTCTAAGCACCAGGCTTTAGAGTCATTTTCATGCTTGCTTGCTCACTTTCTCTCCCTCCTCTAGCTCTAGCCCAGTGACTCTTTCATTATTTATTCACAGTGAAACAGCTTCAACAGAAGAGACTGAGGGAGCTCCACATCAGAATATCCCATAGCACAGTGGCTAGGATACTCACCTGAGAGGTGGCAGACCTCTGTTCAAATCCCTTCTCCCTCTCAAATGGAGCGGGGACTTGAACTGGGTCTCCCACATCCCACGTAAGTAACCCAACCACTGGGCTAAAAGTTATGAGGGCTTCTTGCCACAATGCCATAGGCACCTAATGCCAAGAGAAGGTTTGCATCTGTGCAGAGGGAGGTATCTCTCTGGAGCCCAGACTTGGGCTCCTATCTCTGAGACAGGGGCAAGGCTTCACATACACCCTCTCTTTGGCATCTCCCATTGGCTAGTTTAAGGGGGAGCTGCCTAGCATGCTGGCCTTGTGAATCCCATTCTGAGGTGCCTATCTCTCCCCATTCATTATATAGGAAGCGTAGATACCAAACTCAGGCTTTGTGAATCCCAGTGATTTTCTAGGTGACTAAAAGTTAGGTGTGGTAATGCTCTGCCTCACCATGCCTAAGTTCCTTTGTGAATCTAGCCCAGGTATCAAGTGGTTAGAGCAGAAAAGAGCCTGATGCCTGCCAATCCACCATCTATGACAAATCAGATTATTGCTTTGTGTCTTAGTCAGCCTTGCAAAAAAAAGTAGCACTTTTATGGAAGCTAAAAGCTACCCTTGAACTGAACTTCCCCAAAATATTTATAAAAGAAAAAACAGAATTTTTCTCCTTAGTAGATTTGAACCTAGGGTACTCACTCTACTAGATTTGGGAACTTTCATAATTTAATCTCGCTGACAAATCCTACTCTTTTATAAAACTTGGAAAAATTGGCCGACTTTACAATTCATTCAAAAGAAAAGTATATACGATATAGAAATTGACTAATTAATCCAAATATGAGTTCATAGAACCTAAAATATTTCAATGTATATTAGTCTCATTCATCTATAGTTTTACTGTTATGTTACAAGAAAAATCTTACAGAATATCAAATACATCAGTACGTATTCAGTACATAGATAACTTTGTATAACCATTTGGAAGATACAGTTGCCTTTGAATATAGTAAAGCAAACTACCAGAAAGAAAACAGTATTTTCCACTACACTTGATGTTAAGTAATTCATTATTTGTCCCTTCAATATAGTCTGATACATTTATATTTGCTCTAAAACCAGTATATGGTGGGTCATGTGTTTCAAAGAGAGCTGATTCTGATTTTAGTGACAATGTGGAGCATGTCTAAGATGCACACTCTGCTATGGTTGTATCATGTACTTCAGCCACAATGTTACTGGCTTTTTATTGAGAGGATAATAGAAATGGAACTACTTCAAACCTGCCAGTTTAATTTTCTTTTCTGATGTCAAATGAAGCTGTGAACTTTTAACTAGTACTTGAAAATTGTTTTGCCGCCTTTTTCTGAAGCAATTTAATTCCATGCCATTGAGCAGCCTTTATTTATCCTTCTTAAGTAGTTGTGTATGTGTATGGAAAACTATATACTACTCATACCTTGATGTCTTGTCATAACATGTTGCCTTTAATGACTACAGTGATGCTTTAATTTGCTGCATAGTATTATTTGTATTCTTTATATGTGAAGGAATCTAGGGGTTTATACTACTTTCTATATTTTGTATTTTTGTGCACCTTAATTACAGGATTTCAGAAAGAACATGTAATTATTCAACTTTAAAATGTTCTTTCCTCTTAATTCCTTTTAATTTGTGATTAAATATTTACAGTTGGGACCTCAACTCAGACACACAGGCTCCCTGCCTGATTTCAGTAGTCAGCCAAACAGTCCAATCTATGACCCGAGATTTTTTTAGTGGTAACTGGGCCTTACCTGCTCTGTCTGACTTTTTTTTGGTTACTGGTCTACCTCACAGTAAGTAAGCAAGGTGTCCCCATCTAATGGACAAAATGTGCTTACTTAGAAAGTGGTAGGGTCTTTCTTTCCTGCTTTGCAGCTCATATTCTCAGGTTCCAAGACACAGCTTATTACCAGCATCCTTCCTAGCTATTGCATTTTTCAGCAGTTCACAATCCGTAGAAAACCACATCAGAATACTACAAATATAAATGTTTTGAGCTTAAAAAATGACTTTACCTCATGGGGGGAAAAGATAGAAATCCTAGGCGATCTGTTTCTAGGAGATCAAGAAAAAATTGCTGTTTTCATGGGCCTCTCATAATCTCTCCAGATGACGACAGCCCCTCAAAGCAAACCAAGTCACTGAAGGGTTTTGAGTCATAGAGTTTAAGTCCAGAAGGGACCACCAGATCATCTAGTTTGACCTCACTATGTATGATCATCTTCTTTCTCCTGTAGTATCTTTTAGGAAGGCAAAAGTATTTTCCTTTCAGGAAGAAGAGGATTCACAAGAAATGTTTGGCATTATGTGTGTAAATTAGTTATTAAAGCATATGTCTGAAGTTTGCCAAGATCCCGCCCTCAAAATCCAAAGAAAAAACCATCACTTTTTCCTAAAGAAAATACAGGACAAAGTTATTCCTATTCATCAGAGCAAAGAAAGAACTTTGAAGCAAGCAAAAACCCCTGGATTCAAAACATTCCCTTCTCAAGTAACTTTCTAACCTATGTGGGATCCCTCAGGATATCCTCCAGCTACAGAAAGTGTTTTCCTATAATGGGTTTTGCTGTAAATAAAATGTTAGAATATCTTCCATTCTTTTAGAAATAAACCTATACCCTAAAGCCCCCCCCCGAAAAGAAAAATGACAGCATTCCACAAAAAGGATGTATCATAACATATCTGCTGCGGATCCCCAAGCTACAAGAAAAAAGAAAATTTAAAGTTGCTTAACTTAATTGTTTATGCTGCTGCTTTCCTGAATGATGGAGACGCTGCTATCTCTATTTTAGCATATGGTACAAAATGGTGGGAAGGAGACTTGGTTGGTATCTGAACAAAAATTCATGGCTCTGCCCTCTTTGGGGAGCAGCGATATGTGACTTTCCAAGAAATCAATAAGTTAGCATTCTTCCTGATAAACAGCAAAGTTGGGTCAAAACACCAGCAGTTTTCCGAACTAGAATTTTCTTGGAAAAGATCAAGTAGATTTTGTTTTTAAGTCTGGATACAGTAGAAGCAGTTCCAGCAAGTATTCTGTTCAACAATGTAGAGATAGGGTAACCTTTATTCTCCCCCATCCCTTTTTAGGTTTGTCATTCTCTTGCTACATCACATGTAAAATGAGTTAGTAAACTGTCTGAGGCAGGGACCTTGCCTTTGCAGAAAAACAAGTCCCTTGCACACTTCTGGGCACTGTAAAGAATAATACGTTGGCGGCTCCAAAGCATGGTACTCAGAAGCATCAGGGTGTCGCCCCAATGAGCTCACCTACACCGCCTAACGACGCCAGGAGCTCAGGCTCCGAGGCACTGTACCGCCCCCTAAGGAGAAAGACAAACATTGCACTACCTGCCAGTGAGTGGAACCAAATAAAGTATTGCTCCTGGGTGCGGCGAAGCTCCCATCTATAGCGCGCTCCACGCATGCACAACTGTTGATACTGACAACTTACCACTGACACTCCCCTGTGGTACCGAGTGAGCCAATAGTACCGCAATAGTTCCAGTACCCTAGAGTATCATAGTCGCGGAAGAACCCCAATCATCAGCACACAGTACAAGGGCCCAGGTAATGAGCAGATCATGGCAATCAGAATTGCCCTCGGCTCAGGGCCGTGTATTACCAATACCCAGTCAGTGCTACCCTTACCCATTGACGAGTCTGACAGCAGAAGAATGTCATTTCCCTGGCCTCTCACCATGACCTGTTGTCACAGTACAGAGGACCTAGCCTCCTTGGGCACCCCCACCACCCAGGCCCTTCCCTCCCCATTGGCCACATTGGGATCCTTGGGCAATGTACAGATCCTACATCTTGTGGGCATATAGTGTCTCTCAGAGAGAGTCTGCCAGACGATCTTCTACAGCTTCACTGTCCTGAGCCCTTGAACCAGAGGAGGAAACTTTTGAAGAACAGGAGGAAAGGCTTGAAGGGGAAGCTATCTCTCTGTTGAAACAGATCTTTAATGGCCCACAGCTGAGCAGATTGTTACCGGTACCAGTGAAAATTCGGATTCAATTTGCTCAACACACAGCAGTTTATTGGAGAAAGAATTACACAAGCAGTAAAAAGTTACATAATACGTCTTCCTAATAAGCCTCAATTCCCCAAGCATAAACCTTCGGTAACTATGTTGGCCATACACAGTATCCTGATTGGCAAACAAAGCAGGTATAGCTACCAATCCTAAATGGAGACTTCTCTTCTCTTTGTACTTGGTCTGTCAAATGTCCTCCAAAGCAGGGTCTTGATTACCCTGAGGCCCTCTGGTTCAAAAGTCCTACAAAAGTCTCTCGTAGCAGGGTTTTGGCTACCCTGAGACCCTCTGTCTTACAGTGTCATGAATCTCTTCAGATATTAATTGAGGAGCTAACTAACTAACTTATGATGTTCTTAGCATTTATACCCTCTGTTCTCAAAGGAGTCACATTTCCTCAAAATATGCCCTGTGGGTGTTCCATTACTGATTTTTTCTAATTAATATTTTAGAAGGGATTGCAAAACAGACAGAGACCAAAGATCAGTTGACATTTACCCTCTCATCAATCATTCACATGAGCTCTCAGTGTGATGCCATCCAAAAGGTTCATTTTGAACCAAGCTCACTGATCGCATGTTTTTGTGTTTTCTTTACTTGGTGAGCTGGCCACTGACTGATATGATCAAAGTTCCAAGTTGAAACACACACACGGATAGAGTCTCAACCATTCAAGCGCAGTCGATACAGCCACTTGCTCAGTCTCCACGGCAGTGGTAATGAGGTGGGCTTCTTGGATACATCTTTCTGGTGTTGCCCAAATTGCTGCAGATGACAGTGGAAGATCTCCCATTTGAAGGGCCCAAGCTCTTCACGGAGAAGATGGGATCCTCTCCCCACACCTTAAAGGATTCCTGGGCCATATTACACTTCCTGAGAATCTACTCAGCGGAACAGAAGAGAAGATACAGCTCTCAGCCACAGCACAGGTCACGACCTCCTCAATACCCACCATCTCAGCTCTATTATGTGCTGGAGCGTAAGAGGTCCAGTGTTCAAAAATGGAAGCAGTCAGCTTCGATCCATGACCTCTCAGTCTCTTATAAGTATTTTTGATGGGTCAAGGGCCCGAGCAACTATACCTTGCAGCATCAGCTGCCATCTACACATGCCCCTTCAGAAGTTGCCTGGCCCTCTTGTACAGCAGTTGGGAGAATATTACCTCCGACAGATAAGTCTTGGAGATTATTTCAAAGGGTTACACCTTTCAATTCATGTCCAGCCCCCATTCCCACTCTCCTTCCCCATCCCTCTTCAGGGACCCTTGTCACAAGAATCAACTATGCCAGGAAATAGATCGTTTGTTATGCCTAGGGGCCACAGCACCGGTCCTGGCTCATCTCAGGGGCAAGGGATTTTACTCCAGTTATTTCCTGATCCCCAAGGCGAAGGGAGGTTGGAGGCCCATTCTAGATCTAAGGGCATTAAACAAATGCGTGAAGGCTCAGAAGTTCTAGATGGTCATGCTAGCAGCCATTATTCCAGCTATTGAGCCAGGAGATTAGTTTTTGGCCCTCAACCTCAAGATGCCTACTTCCACATCTCAATACGACCGTCACACAGGAGATTTCTACGGTTTATCTTCAGGCAGGACCATTATCAGTACAGGGTGCAGATGAGAGGCCGAATGTCCTCGTTACTGCTCCAAGGCTGGCCTGGGAAAACATTCCATGGGAGAAGCCCTCATCCTCTAATGGGACAGGGACCTCTTGTATGCCTTTCTCCCATTTTCTCTTCTATCCAAGGTCCTGCTGAAAATTCGACGGGACAAAGCAACTTATTCTAAGATAGTTAGCTCCCCAGTAGACTTCATTCCAAGTTACAGAGGTCTCTGTTTCTACTCCTGTGTAGAGTCCATGGCAAAGATTTTTAGAAGTGACCAGTGATTTTTGGGTGCTTTGACTTTTTCGAGCGATTTTCTCAAAACGTGGTAAAGGAGAGAGGGTTATTTTCAAAGGATGAGAATGCTCAAAATTTTTTTAAAAAATCAGGACGCATTAAGTGGCTCAAGTTGGGAACAACTGGATAACAAAAATGTTTATCCTTGCATGTAAACTGAATTTCGTTTATGTAAATCCGAAGAATATGTAAATTGTTTAATTTTACAAAGCTGTCCACTGTCCCATTGGATTTTGTTGAGACATTTCACAGTGCTCTGAAGTTGCAGACATGTTTTATATAAGTTCTTACACCTATATGTTTACATTTTAAACAATTACTCCTAAATCCATACAGACTGAAGGAGGAGAGACTGGGAGGTTCTGATCTATCACTGCTGCCAAAAATCTCAGTTTATTGTCTACTAGCCTGTTAGGATGGGACCCTACCTCCCCCCCCCCCATCTATTTGCCTGTTAGGGTGGGAGCTTAGGTGTCTGTACTGATGCCTTAGTTAAAAGAAATATAATGTGTAGTTACAGATAAAATTACCTACATTAACTTTTTTGTCTCTTAGAGGGGAAACCAGAAAAATTTTCAGTGAGTCTTTTGGATCCTCCATTTCGAGTTGGAGTACCTTTTAATATTCCTTTGGACTTGCAGGATGAATTTGGTCATCCCACACAGCTGGCAACTGATATTGAGCCAATTCTTGAAGCTAGGTAATTAAACATATCGAATTTTTATTCTCCGTTTTTTGTAACTCTTTTAAACACTATTGTTCTTTAATTTTACAAGGTGTTGGACTAGGTATTTTTAATGTAAATTGACACCTCCTGTTGCTTCCAAGCGTTCTTACATCTTGATTATATTTTGGGTGAGAATTAAAATGCTTTTCTTTAAATTAATTTTAATTTATTTTTGTAGTGGTTTGACTTTACAATATGAAGAAATAAGTAAAGGAACAAACTGCGTCATTAAGGGTGTCACTGCTAAAGGCCACGTAAACAACTACCTGGGCAAGGTAAGCTGAGTTATTTAAATGTGGGCAGTATATTAAAACTGCTCACTGCTTTATATGTAAAATGCATTTTAGTGTTCCGTTGTCTTTTATCTGTTCTTATTAGAAGTATGGGGAATAAGCAGGAATAACTCTAAATGCTAGTAAATAAATACAACTATGACATAGTTGGCATCACAGAGACTTGGTGGGATAATGTGCATGACTGGAATATTGGTATAGAACGGTACAGCTTGCTCAGGAAGGACAGCTGGGGAAAAAAAAGGAGGAGATGTTGCCTTCTATATTAGAAATGTATACACTTGGACTGAGATTGAGATGGAAATAGGAGACAGACTTGTTGAAAGTCTCTGGGTAAGGATAAAAGGGGTAAAAAAATAAAGGTGATGTTATCACAGAATATTCAAGGAGCTGACTGAGGAGATATCTGAGCCATTAGCAATTATCTTTGAAAAGTCATAGAAGACTGGAGCAACTCCAGAAAACTGGAAAAGGGCAAATATAGTGCCCATCTATAAAAAGGGAAATAAGGACACCCCGGGGAATTACAGATCAGTCAGCTTAACTTCTGTACCCGGAAAGATAATGGAGCAAATAATTAAGCAATCAATTTGCAAACATCTAGATGATAAGGCGATGACAAATCCATACTGAATTTTACTTAAGAACAAATTGTGTCAAACCAACCTAATAGCTTTCTTTGACAGGGTAACGTGCCTTGTGGATGGGGGGGGGAAGCGGTAGACGTGGTATATCTTGACTTTAGTAAAACTTTGGATACTGTCTTGCATGACCTTCTCATAACCAAACTAGGGAAATGCAATCTAGATGGTGCTACTATAAGGTGGGTGCATAACTGGTTAGAATATCGTTCCCAGAGAGTAGTTATTAGTGGTTCACAGTCCTGCTGGAAGGACATTACGAGTAAGGTCCCGCAGCCAGGGAACAGTTCTGGGTCCGGTTCTGTTCTATATCTTCTTCAATGATTTTGATAATGGCATAGAGAGTACACTTATAGAGTTTGTGGACGATATCAAGCTGGGAGGAGTTGCAAGTGCTTTGGAGGATAGGATTATAATTCCAAATGATCTGGACAAACTGGATAAATGATCTAAAGTATATAGGATGAAATTCAATAAGGACAAATGCAAAGTACTCCTTAGGAAGGAACAATCAGTTGCACACATACAAAATGGGAAATGACAGCCGAGGAAGGAGTACTGCAGAAAGGGATCGGGGGCGGGGGGGGGAGAGGTCATAGTGGACCACAAGCTAAATATGAGTCAACAGTGTAACACTGTTGCAAAAAAAGTGAACATCATTCTGGGATGTATTGGCAGGAGTGTTGTAAACAAGACATGAGAAATAATTCTTCTGCTCTACTCCGTGCTGATTAGGCCTCAACTGGAGTATTGTGTCCAGTTCTGGGTGCCACATTTCAGGAAAGATGTGGACAAATTGGAGAAAGTCCAGAGAAGAGCGACAAAAATGATTAAGTGTCTAGAAAACATGACCTATGAGGGAAGATTAAACAAACCCAATCTTTTCAGTCTGGAAAAGAGAAGACTGAGAGGTGACATAACAGTTTTCAAGTACATAAAAGGTTTTTATAAGGAGGAAGGAGAAAAATTGTTGTTCTTAATCTCTGAGGATAGGACAAAAAGCAATGGGCTTAAATTGCAGCAAGGGTTGGACATTAAGAAAAACTTCCTAACTGTCAGGGTGGTTAAGCACTAATGCTTAGGGAGGTTGTGGAATCTCCATCATCGGAGTTTTTAAGAGCAGGTTAGACAAACACATGTCAGGGATAGTCTAGTTAATACTTAGTCCTGCCATGAGTGCAGGGGACTGGACTAGATGACCTCTCGAGGTCCCTTCCAGTCCTATGATTCTATGATTAATTGACTTGGATACAGCATCTCTTACAACAAACATACATGTTTCTTGGATTGTCCTAAATGTAAATGCAATCTGTGGGGACAAAATCAGAAAGGCTAAGGCACAAAATGGAGGATGGGTGAGGTCCCAGAGGACTGGAAAAGGGCAAATATAGTACCTATCTTGAAAAAGAGGAGCAAAGAGGACCTGGGAATTTAGCCAGGTCAGCTTATCTTCAATATCTGAAAAGATAGTGGAACAAATTATTAAACAATCAATTTGTAAGCACCTAAAGGGCAATAGGGTGATAAGGAATAGACCGCATGGATTTGTCAAGAAGAAATAATGCCAGACCAACCTAATTTCCTTTGACAGGGGTTACTGGTCTAGTGGATGACATATCAGTAGGTGTGATATATCTTTTTTTTTTTTTTTTTTAAAGTAAGGTTTAGTTTAGTTTGCAGATGACACCAAGCTGGGAGGGTTTGCAAGCTTTTTGGAATTAGAATTAGAATTGAAAAAGACCTTAAGAAATTGGAGAATTAGTCTGAAATCAACAAGATAAAATTCAATAACGATAAGAACAAAGTCTTTTGGTTAGGAAGGAAAAATCAAATGCACACATACAAAATGGGGACTAACTAGTTGGGAGGTAGTACTGCTGGAAAGGATCTAGGGGATATAGTTGATCGCAAATTGAATGAGAGTCAATGTGATGCTGTTGCAAAAAAGGGCTAATATCATTGAGGTGTATTAATAGCAGTTAGACACAGGAGATAGTTCTCTTGCTCTATAATGTACTGGTGAGGCCTCAGCTGGAATACTATGTCCAGTCCTTGGCACCACACTTTAGAAAAGATTGGAGAGATTCCAGAGGAGAACAAAAAATTATAAAAGGTTTAGAAAACCTGACCCATGAGGAAAGGTTAAAAAACTGGGCATGTTTATTCTTGAGAAAAGAAGACTGAACGGACACCTGATAAGTCTTCAAATATGTGAAAGTCTGTTATAAAGAGGATGGTGATAAATTGTTCTCTCTGTCCACTGAAGGTGGGAAAAAGAAGTAATGGGCTTAATCTCTAGCAAGGGAGATACAGGTTAGATATTAAGAAAAACTTACTAACTGAAAGGTTAGTTAAGGTTTGGAATAGGTTTCCAAGGGAGGTTGTGGTATCTTCATCATTAGAGGGTTTTTTAAATCATGTTAGACAAACATCTGTCAGGGATGGTCTTGATTTACTTGGTTCTATCTCAATGCAGGGGGATGGACTTGGTGACTTCTTGAGGTCCCTTCCAGCCCCACTTTTCTATGATTCTGTGACCCTACCCTGTAATTATAGTGGCACAGGAGCGCAATTATAGTTAACATTGCATCATGACGTCTGTTTAAAGGTCAACTTTTCTAAGACCGCTAAAATTGACGTGCTTATTTGGATATCTTTGAAAATTAGTAAGCCTCAGAAAGGTACAGGGTAGGGTTAGTGAACCAAATTTGGAGTCATTTGAGCATGGGATTCCAGAGATATAAACCCTGGGGGGGAAATAGCCATTTTTTAAAAAAGTTCCAAGTATCTCCCCTCCCCAAAAGCTAAGATCAAACTATTGATGTGATGGTGATCAAAATGGTCTCAAGCCATCAAGTTTTGCCCAAGATAGTGCATGGCACCCACTAAATCTTTGGAGGACCCAAAATAAGAATGGTAATTAAGAAAATGTATGTTTTTACACTGTGCATATACCAGTACAGAAAAAATGGGTGGAGGGTTTCCATTCCTGTCATTTTATATGCTCTAAAGCTAGGCTCTTGTAAGTGGTCTAAAATATGAATGGTTAATTGGATTGTTTTGAAATTTGGTGTGCTTGATTGAGGGGGGGGGGGTCTGAGTTTGCATCAGTGATCCAAATTTGAGGTCATTTGACCAACAGATTTCTGAATTCCAAGCCCTCAGAAGAAAATTTCCTTTTGCTGCCTTGTACTGTTAAACTGAGAGGTACTAATGATTGGATGAATTGCACCTCGGATTGCTGGATTGCTTGCCCTTCAATTAACATAACTAAGAATAAATTAATCACAAGCCCCCACCTAAAACAAAAGGAATTTCTGAAAGAGGCTATGTCTACATTATAAGCACTAGAGCAGCACAGCTGCAGCTGTAGTGCTTATAGTGTAGACACTTGCTACAGTGACGGAAGGGGTTTTCCATTGCTGTAGTTAATCCGCCGCCTCAGGAGACAGTAACTAGGTCAATGGAAGGATTCTTCTGTTGACTAGTGGTGTCTATACTGGGGCTTACGTCGGCTTTACCACTTCTCTTGGGTGTGAATTTTTTATATCCCTGAGTGATCTAGCTAGGTTGATCTAAGTTTTAGGTGTAAACCAGGCCTGAATGGCAGGAGGTTGCTACCGTTCGTGAGGCACGGGTGGCAATTTTATTTTGAGGGTAATGTAATCAGTCTTTGGCAGTGGGGGTTAAATTAAACATGTGAATGCTTCCTGGAAGAGGAGGAGTATTAGGAGGCAGAGAGGTGGATGAATAGGAGGAGAGGGGAGGGGGATAAATGGGGATAAGTAGTAGAAGAGAGCAGGAGAGATTCTGGGCTGAGATGAGGGAGGCCTGTTCTGGCAGTGCACCCGAACCACCTCCTTTCCTCCAACCCCCCCTTTCACGTTTAATAGTGTTAGATCTAGTCCTGTGGGTGAGAGTGAATGGGCTGTAAAAGAGGTGAAGAGCTTGTATGTTTCAGCACCTGTGGGATTGTCAGGGTAAAAGATGTGTGTCAATGGTCATACTGGGGCATTGTTGAAAGAGGGTAGAGTCAAAGTTGCATGGGCAACATTAACTTGTGCATTTTCTGGTTTTCAGAAGTTTTAAGTTTTGCTCAACTCAGTGTTCTGCAGGGGGACAACATACCACCAACCAACCATAACTCTATATTAACATAGTTTTTTGCCATTGAATACATGTTATTGTTGACCGCTTTTATATTGCTGTCCACAACTGCTGTAGATTCTGAGGAATATTATATAATACTTTTTTGCACTGAATTATAATATATATTATATTTCATATGGTCAGAACTTAAAATATTATTATTTGAGGCTATGTAAAGTTTCTCTTATTTGGTCAGTGTGGTATTAGTGAGTGTGTAAACTCCTATGAGTAAATTTTTAAAAAAATTGTTTAAAAACCATATGAGTTGCTGCTTATGCTGAATACATGAATGCTAACATTATACATAAGTTTTTTAGAACTTTTCTTGTTACTCATAATATGTCTGCTCTAAATATTATTGCCATAGACTGGTATATGGTTTCCTGCAGCTAGAAGTTTAAATAACAGAATTCATATGTTTAGCCATTCATCATCATCGTTCCATACAAAAACCTAAATTTAAAGGCTTTCTGGGAGTTATTAAGGGAAAGTGAAGGACTTAAATTAAGTAATGTCAAAGTTATAGTTGGCCTTGTAACTTTAACTTGGCCCCCTTTTTTGTTTGCCTTCTTTAGAGCATGTAAATGTTCTGCAGGACTCATTCATTGTGCAGAAAGAATAGTGCAGTGAATGAGACTATTCTTAAATATTTTTATCCCACCTGTTCAGTGAGTGTACTCCTGATTCTTTCACTGCACATCATCCATTCTGTCCTCTGCAGAATTACATGTGCTGCTAGGCTGGTGTAAATTAAAATTTATTCCAGATCTACACCTTCACAAATGCAGATAATTGATCGAGCTGGGTATTTATATGGCCTCCATCACCAGAGTTTGTGAGGACTTTGATCAGAGTGTTTACCTGTCATCTATTTTTTTCTGCCTTTTGCAGTATTGTTTGCATTTATTTTCATGAGTCATTTTTGGAGCTTTAGTTTCCCAGATTTGACATCTCTGGGGCGGAAGAAAGAGAAATGCAATCAACCACTTGCAACTATGTCTACTCAGTTTGTTTTGTAACTATTTTATTACATACTCTTGCAAATTTGTATACAAATAAACATTTTCAAGTAGTTACAAAATATGAGGCACCCAAGGACTGCAGTGCTCCCTGTTGGATTTAATTCCTAGAAGTTTGGGCTTATGGGAGTTCTTGAACTGGGAGCCTGGGCTTAGTGATTGTTAGTGATATATCTTCAAATCAACACTTACAGATTATTATATAACTAGAGTTGCCTACATTTTTATTAGCTGTCCAGACTGGTATTCACTCTCCCTCACTTCTTGGTGTCTTGTTTCAAGCAGATAGAGAGCGATGGAGATAAGGTCTGCATATCTCTTCTTTAACCCCACCCCACCCCACCCCCACCCCCCAAAAAAACTAACTTTTTTTTAAAAAGCTCATGCGTGCATCTAGGCAGGCAACCACGAGTTATGTTAACTGCTTTTAAAATGTCTGGGTTCATGTTGGCTGATATTCAGCAACAGGAATAGAGCTCTCTGTAGGCAATAACATCAGAAAACTGATAATCTAGTTTGCAACTTAATACTGAAAATTTGTGTAAGCCTCTGGAATTTCACAAAAATATGCATGAAAGTCCAAAATACGTTTTTGTAGGTTATGAGAATTTATGTAAACAAATCTACGATCTGCTTTTGTTCAGCGTTAATCCTTACAATGTTCTTTTCAATAGAATTTCAATCTGAAGGTTATTCTTCCTGGTTTGAAAGAAGACTCTCAGATCTTGAAAATAAGATTACTGCCTGGTAAGTATTTTGAAATATTTGTGATGACATGTTGAAAAATATTCTAACACTTCTTTTTTTTGTAATAGTGTGCCTCCATTCAAGAAGACACAATACCTGATGAGATGTACATTTACCTCTACATAATTTATCATCTGTTATTGTCCATAATATGTAAGTCCAGGTACTGGGCTTTGTATATTATTACTAGCAAGTGAAGACTGGAAACTTAAAACAAACTTTATGATGCCATCCCCCTTTATATGGAAAACATTCGCTCAGCATTCCAGCTCTACCTGTTCTCTTAGCAGTTGGAAATCACCTGCTTGTCTGAGATACATTTTGTTTTATTTTGAATCCTTTTTTCTGATCACAAACTTTTTCTAACCAGGCACAATTATTTAGCATTTTTATTTATTTCCTCTTACTTCTGTGGAGCTTTTGGTTGCCCACTAGTCTCCATCTTCTTTGTTCCCTTTTTAGATGGGTCACTTTGTGAGCAAATTCTGGGTTTTTCATTCAAACTGTGAAATCTTGGCTGGGGGTGTATAGATATAGTGTCTCAAATTCAAAGTGTGCATCCTATGGTAGTTGCTGACTTTAGCATCATGCATTCCTCTCATGCCATTTAGTAGTCTGTAAGCAGTACCCTACCAGCTTTCTAAGTCCTGTTGTGGACACACTGGAACTGAACAAATTTAGGTCCCCTCTGTAAATGGAATTTTTTTGGCCTGAACAGCTAAGAGTTTCTCAGCGACAATGTGGGTGAGGTAATTTTTTTTTATTCTTCGAGTTGATGCGGTTGTGTATTCCATGTAGGTGTGCATCCACACACCATACCAGAGCCAGAGAACTTTGTCTAGCAGTACACATAGAGGCAGCGCTTGGGTCTTGCAGCCTTCTCCCCTCCCCTGCTGTACAAGTGTGATGCCACTATCAGTTTCTTCTCACTGCTCATGGCTGGAGTCGGAGCTGTGTGGTATTATTTCACCTCATGCTTTCTGTCTCAGTTACCTGAGACTTTTCTTGTATATCAGGGGTGGGCAAACTACTCTGGCCTGCAAGCTATTTTAAGCCGGCCCCCGCTCTGGTGCTCCGATTGGGGCGCTGGGTCGGGGGCCGGACCACGCGGCCTGGCCCAGCTCCAGCCAGGGCGCTGGGTTGGGGGCCAGACCACGTGGCTCGGGCCAGCTCCGGTGCTTCAGTCGGGGCGCAGAGTCGGGGCCGCACCATGCAGCTCCTGGAAGCTGCGGCATGGCCCCACTCTGGCTCCTACGTGCTCCAATGGGAGCTGCAGGGGTGGTGCCTGCAGATGGGGCAGTGTGCAGAGCTGCCTGGCCGCGCCTCCGCATAGGAGCCTGAGAAGGGATATGCCACTGCTTTCAGGAGCCACTTGAAGTAAGCGTCACTCGGAGCCTGCACCCCCTGAGCCACTCTCCACACCCCAACTCTCTGCGCCAGCCCTGATCCCCCTCCCGCTCTCCAAACCCCTCGATTCCAGCCCGGAGCACCCTCCTGCACCCCAAACTCCTCATCCCCAGCCCCACCCCAGAGCCCGCTCCCCCAGCCAGAAACTGCACCCCTTCCCGCACCCCTGCCCCAGCCCTGATCCCCCTCCCACCCTCCGAACCCCTCAGTCCCAGCCCAGAGCACCCTCCTACACTCCTCATCCCCAGCCCCACCCCAGAGCCTGCACCCCTTCCCACACCCCATCCCCAATTTTGTGAGCATTCATGGCCCGCTATACAATTTCTATTCCCCTATGTGGCCTTTGGACCAAAACGTTTGCCCACCCCTGTTGTGTATATAGTTGTAGTAGCTCAGACTGTGCCCTCTCTCCCCTCCACCACAGAGTGAGAGCTCATTCTGTGAGAACCCAGATGACATTGATTGTGTTTCTAAGTGATGTTCCCATTTTGGATATTTGTAAGGCTGCCACTTGACCCTATGTATGTATGTTAACAAATCACTGTGCCATTCTGCTGCATCCTGCTCAGATGCAAACTTTGGGAAGACAATCCCGCAGTCTGTGTTCAAACAGACTCTGAGCCCCAGCTACTGCAAGTACTACCTGAGAGTCATCTGCATGGAATACATGGCTGTATCTACTCGAAGAAGAAAACATGGTCACTTACTGTAACTTTTGTTCTTTGAGATGTGAAGCAGACATGTATTGCACAACCCATCCTCCGTCTCCTCTGACATTCGGTGCGAAGGAACTGATGGGGGTCGGGATGGCGCCACCCTTATACGGCCAGGAGAGGGCATAAGGCCGTAAGACGTGAGCACCCCCCTACAGGTACTGCTAGGGAAAGTTCTCTGGCTCTGGTGCACTGTGTGTGCACACATCTGCATGGAATACTCATCTGCATCACATCTTGAACAACAGTTACAGTAAGTAACACTGTTCTGTTGGTGAAAGAGACAAGCTTCTGAGCTCAATAGAGCGTCTCTTTACCTTGTCTTTGTCATATCCTGGGACCAACCTGGCTACAACAACATTGCAAATACCAATTTCTCAAGCAGTTCCACTTATACAGTATATGTAAGAGATTTACCATGGTGCCTTGTTCCGATGGTGCTGTTACTCCTTTTTGCACAGGCTTTTCCAGGTTAGGAAAATGTATGAGGTGTGTCAGGTCTGTCATGGGTTAACTACTCTTGGTCTTTGCCCTTTTGACCAACATCAGGTGTGCCAAGCCATTTTGGGGAAATTATTCTACGGTAGCCTTCCTTATAGTTAGACTAGCGGGTCCACCTGTAATTTCTATTTTATTCCATTACCTTTTTCTGGTCTGCAGACAGATGTAAACTCTCCCTTCTGAGAACGTGTATAATAGTCTAATTTGATCAGATTAGATAAAATGAAAGATATACTTCTGAATTTTCACCTCCTCCTATGTCAAAGATATTTGGACATTCTCTTTCTTCCTGCAAATACCAGACGCACTTGAGATTTGTCCATAGAATTGCAGGGCATGGTCACATACTTTGCACTGGAATCTGTCTTTGTCAGTGCAGTGACACTTCAGAGCAATTGATTCAGTGCAATCCTACCTTTTAAAGCTAATTTGGGGGCAATAGTGAGCAAAATCTTTTTCATTCTTTGCTTTTCTTAGGGGACTAAAGTTTCAGGGGGGGTTGCTTCCTGAGTAGAACTGTCTGTTCATCTCCTTCTCTCCATTTGTTCCTCCCCTTTGCTTTTTATGATGTAGAAGGCCATCCAGAATAAGCTGAAAGTACACTGGTGCTCCATGTGCAAGGAGACCACAACAACTACAGAAGAGCAACTCTGCTAAGATTGTTTCATGGGCCTGGGAACAATTGTAGGTCATGTCAATCCTGTGCTGAAGATCCTTAATTGCCACTTTAGGGCTTAATTAAAACTCTGCATCTGGTCTCTTAATGGCTATCCTTTTCATTTGACATTTTTAATCTTTAGGGTCCCATTCAGCCAAGGTAGGCAAACTTATTAACCGGTTCTTGCCGATGATGTTTTTCTACCATTTATTTTCCCAAAAGCTTGTTCTATACTCTGGTTTTCAAAAATAGATCAGCAAACTCTGTTTGTGTAAAGCTTTTTACTAGCAGAGATTTTAATTTAGTCTTCAAAAGTTGTCATGGTCTCTTTTCCTGCCCCCTACCCCACCCCACCCCACCCTTCCAAAATTGCTATCACTTTATAGGTCTTTTCCCACTTGTTGATAAAAATCAGTTTTAGATACTTGGGTTGTAAATGTATAGTTCCCAGCTCAGGTGGGATATCATAACTGAATACTTAGTTCCCTTTCCCTTTTTTAATTTTAATTAATCTCTATGATTCACCATAGTTGTTTTTATTGCATAGGGTAGAAATTAGAAGTTTTAAGTAACTAATAGACTAGAACAGAGATTCTTTGCAAAATATTTCTGAAAATTGACCAAAGTTATTTATTTAGTCTTTATTCATTCTCGAAGGACTTTGACATATACCTCTGGTCTTAAAGCTAATGAGTTAGTTTTCTTTAGGGACTCCACATTAATTTTTAGAATTAAGATTGACAACATATACAAATTATTTTACCTTTTAAGCTATTTTGAGAGCTCTCACTATGCCCTCCACATCACATCATTTTTTCTTTTTATTTCTTTTTCCTTATGTTTGTATACGAGTTATAAAGGTTGTAGATTACATGATTAGAATGCCTTTTAGCATGATTGATCAGATTTCTTTGTGGTTATCTACACCCTATAGCACATTTCATATGTTTGCCCTGCATCTCACGGGAAAGTCTAGGTTCAGTATCTTTATTGGTTTACTGGTCAACACTGATAGTATTGATGACTTGTAAAGATGTGTTTTATATATCTGGTGATCGCTATATGTCTATTTAAGCACATTCAGGAGAATAGTAAACAATGTACCTGCAAGGACAGAACCCCCTGCTTATTTCAATGCTAGTATTCTTCTGAGGAAAGATTCATGAACATGAATTGTGCTAGATTGTTTGTTACCAAAGGTACCGTGGCAGTTTATTTTCAAATTACGGTTGTTACACAGAGAAACTGAAGTCAGATAACCTGTAAAATTCTGAAGTGTAACCTCTACTCTAAAATTGGGTATGTTTACAGGCCCTCCTCGTCAATTGAAAGTGAAACCGGATTCTGAAATTCTAAAGATTGAAAATGGGACATCTTTCCCCTTTCAGGTTGAAGTGTTGGATGAAGCAGGAAATATAACAGCACAACCAAAACTGATAGTTCATTGTAAGGTAGGCTACATTTTATGTATACTAGCACAGGCTTCTGTTATGGCACTTACTTTAATAAAAAAGTGTGGAAAGGATCTATTTTGTTCCGTCAACCAAATGTAATATATTAGTAGTTTTCCAGATATCTTGAGATTTCATAGTAGTTGCAACTTCAGTGCCACCTCTACCACATAGTTCCTGACTAAATGTCAGAGGTACAAAGAGCTGACACATTAGTGATTAAAGAGATATTGGGATGAGGATATTTAATTACAGTATCAAGATACTTCAGGTCATGCTTTTGTGTGCGTATATATATATATATATATATATATAGAGAGAGAGAGAGAGAGAGAGAGGAACCCTGCTTACATTTATTTGGTCTAGGATTAGCTAATGCCTCAAGTGAACTCTTAATATAAGAAATAACAGACTATTATTTACAATATATTGTATGACAATAATTATTTTTAGTATTGGTTGTTTAACTGTCAGCAAACCACTGCAGAAGTTAATATTTTTTAACTCCTCTAACCCATTTAATGTATTTAGATTTCTCAGAAATAAGCTCACAGCAGGCAACTTTAAAATGTTTAACAAAAATGTTTGCACTTAGATTTTCATGTGTGTATTATTTATGCATGTTACAAACTTAACTTTAACATTTTTATTTTATGAATGAGTGGTAAGTGTTCTCTCAATTTTAGGGCATAAATCTAAACAAATCTTAAATTTTGAGTGGCATGAATCATTGTTTGGAAAAAAATAATTTAAGGCAAAATATT